ACTTAGTGTTATGTTTTACAAATGCTTATTCTTAATTTTTTTAAATCAGACCCAGTGGTTATCAGGGTTTATTCCTGGCTATATTCTCAGGATTCACTCTTTGTGGTGCTCAGAGAACCATAAACAGTGCCATGGCTGAATTAAGTCACGAGCAAAGCAAACCTCTTAACCTCTGTACTTTCTCTCCAGCCTCAAACCCTTATTCTATTATGCCATGTGCCATTGCAGCAAAGTGACAAAACTACAGCAAGAACTTATTAAAAACTTATTAATTTGCCTCAAGGAGTCAGTTAAAAAAAAACAGAGCTAAACAACTGAAAGATTGTTTTCATTTGAAGTCAACATAGAAAGAGATACTTGTCTTTAATATCAAATAAGACCACTATAAAAAAAATTGATTAATCCAGGTAAAGTGCTTGTTCAAGTAGTTGATGCAGAGAACAAAGAATATTAGTTACGAGGCTGGAGCGATAGCACAGTGGGTAGGGCATTTGCCTTGCACAGGGCTGACCCAGGTTCGATTCCCAGCATCCCTCATGGTCCCCCGAACACCTCCAGGAGTAATTCCCGAGTGCATGAGCCAGGAGTAACCCCTGTGCAAAGCCGGGTGTGACCCAAAAAGCAAAAATAATAAAATAAAATAAACACATAAATTCTAAAAAAATATTAGTTACTTGTGTAACTGTCAACATAAATAGCCTTTAATTTGAATTGTTTTAACCAGAGTCATGATATCTTAAGCTACAATTAAGAATCAGTATGGACTGGCGTCAGTAAGGAACTATGTTTTATAGTTCAGTAGGAAACTATAGTTTGTTATGGGTCCTTTCATTTATTTTTTACAAATTGTCTAATTTTATTATTTTATTGCTCTTACTTGTAACATAAAATGATGAAGACATTCTCCAAAAGTATACAAAATATTTAAGAAAAAGATGTATTATTAACCTACTGAAACAATTTGGTTAAAGGAAGATAGTCTTGGATTAAGGCTGTACTGGCAGAATATACTGAATCCCTCCACAGAATACCTACTGAGTTCAAGCGCTGGATAATTCTGAGTAGAAGCTGACATCCCTGTTCCCAGTTCTCTCATCAGTCAAATGAATATACTGAGTTACCTGTTATTTAAAGTTTCTTTCTGACACCTTCTTCATTCCTTTATGGTTAATTTCAAGTTGAAAATGATGCTCAATTATTTGAGGTCATAAAAGACAGTTATTAAATAAGTCAAATAATAAATATGTCTTAATATTTACAAGAAATCATTTCTGTGAAGTTGCCATAGCACGGGATATCAGGTAGCTTTCTGTAATTTTTCATACTGGATAGCAGAGCAGCCCCATGAAAGGAGTGTTGAAAACTCTGATTTCTGACTTCCGGTTCCTAAGAAAGTAGGGAAATCTTTCTAACATGATGGCCGTTTTGGAAACATTAGCAATTATTGTGAAGAGTCCCCACACCCATTGCCCGTGTATATTTATTTATTTATTTATTTATTTATTGCTTTTTGGGTCACACCCAGCTGATGCTCAGGGGTTGCTCCTGGCTCTGCACTCAGGAATCACTCCTGGCAGTGCTTGGGGGACCGTATGGGATGCCAGGGGATCAAACCCGGGTCACCCACGTGCAAGGCAAACGCCATACCCGCTGTGCTATTGCTCCAACCCCGCCCGTGTATACTTCAGACTGTGGTGACCTTACCCCCAAACATAGTTATGGAAATTGGGGCAACAGTACCCTGGACACTCCTTGTCATGGGGTGGCTTAGCCAGTTTTAGTCCCCGACACCGCATATGTTTCCTGAGCCTGCTAGGAGTGACCCCTGAGCACAGAGCCAGGAGGAAGTCCTGAGTGACTGTGAGCATGGCCATCATTAAAAAAAATGGCTTTCAAAATAAGCATTTGCTTAAACAACACATCTAAATGTCTTCTCTTGAAAGATTTTACACGTCAGTCAGTGTTTTAGTTCCTATCTAAGCCATCCACATTCCCTTAGACTTTTGCTGCTTCTCGTATTTCCGCATGTGCATGGATCACCCAGAATCTATTAAAATGGAATTCTTACTCAGCAGCGTCTCAGATAAAGGACTGTTTTATTACTTACTTTGATCTTATAAGCGTCTTGCATGATACCATTTCTATAGTAAATTCACAATAAATGTGCAAAATATGGGAAATGACTGAGAATGAAAATGAAATTGGAGAGAAAAGAAGGGAAAGGAGGTTAAAAACTAGAATCAGGTGATTGTACTGCATTTCCTCACTCTCAGCATACAAAGAGGCTGCAGGAGAAAAGATAACAGGAATTAACTTTTCATTGCATTTAGACTGGGCAGACGCCACCCCCACCCAAAATTTCATAATTGAGTTTTTAAATGGGAGTATTCCCAGTGAACAAAGACAGGGAGACTGGTCATCTTTGATTCTTTTTCTTGCACGTAAGTACGTTTTGCACAGGTCTTGCCAAGAATAAGATGACCTTGTATTCCATTTAATTAAGCATAGTATTTGGGACGAGAGGTGAGGTATTAAGTTAAATTATTCGCCCTTCATTGTAGGAGGCAGTTTGTAATAATAAAATAAGTGCGCTATCTCATCAGAAGATGGACTCCTGAATACTTTTCAGATGATCACCAACCTTATTTATGTTTATTTTAATTTAAAGAATTTCTTTTTAATTTTGGGGCTGCACCCACGGATGCTCCGGAGTGACTCCTGGCTCTGCACCCAGGAATCACTCCTGGATGCAGGGATCAAACTTGGATTGGGTGAATGCAAAGCAGATGATCTACCGTCTCTATCATCGCTCCTGCTCACCTTTTGTTTTTAATGTTTAGTCTGCAAGATGCAGCAGATATAATAGCGAAGAAGACTACTATAATAGTATATCCTATGTGTACAACTTCAGCTCTTTTTTTTTTTAATAAAAACAATTAGGGCATTAGCGGGCATCCCAAGCTGTCTTGTGAGGTCTGGGGTTTTTGTGCTGGTGATTCTCAGCCAGCCAGGCCAGTGGGTTGGTGCAAGGGCCCCGACGCTGTGGAACTATTTAGACCCGCAGTTATGGGGGTACCCAGGCCAGCACAGTGGTGTTTAGGGGTCACAAGGACTACACCTCTTAGTCACATGCCAGGTGAGCACCTGAACCCTGCAACATCTTTCTGGTCTCACCATGTGAACTTTAACCAGCAATATTTAGATTGTGATTTTCCCAAGGAACAATCATTGCTGAAGCACTCAGTATACTCCAAAAAAGTGAAAACAAACTATTAAAAAAAAATAAATCCTGGAGCTGGAGAGATAGCACAGCGGGTAGGGCGTTTGCCTTGCCCGCGGCCGACCCGGGTTCAATTCCCAGCATCCCATATGGTCCCCTGAGCACCGCCAGGAGTAACTCCTGAGTGCAGAGCCAGGAGTAACCCCTGTGAATTGCCAGGTGTGACCCAAAAAGCAAGAAATAAATAAATAAACAAATCCTTCTGAATGAGAAAAAATATTTGTACATCCTATATCTTAAAAGGGTTGAAAATCCAACATACATAAAGCTGAGAGAAGTTAACAACAAAACTCCAAAACCCTTCAAGAATGGGGAGAAGAGCTCAATGGGACTTCCTCAAAAAAACCATAAAGATGATCAACAGGCATATAAAAAAAGTATTTTAATCACTGATTATGAGGGAAATATAAATCACGAGGTAATGAAGTATCACATCGCACCAGTGAGAATCGGGGTTGCTGACAGTTCCAGAAGTGGCCAGTTCTGTCCGCTTGAGCCTCTGTGAAGAAACGCAGGGACCCTTCTCCAAAATCTCAGCATAGACCTACAAAACAAACCAGTGATCACATCCTTGGCATCTCTCCAATGAATAAAACCATATTAATTTGAAAATAGTTCTGCATTTTATGCTCATTGTGGCATTAATTTACAATAGCTATGATCTGGAAACAACCCTCCTGTCCAATGCTAGAGAAGTGGATAGAAATTTTGCTATACCTATATAATGGAACACTGTAGCACTGTCCTCCCATTGTTCATCAATTTGGTCGAGCGGCACCAGTAACGTCTCCACTATGAGACTTGCTGTTACTGTTTTTGGCATATCAAATATGCCACAGGGAGCTTACCAGGCTCTGCCGTGTGAGTGGGATACTCTCGGTAGCTTGCCGGGTTCTCTGATAGGGATAGAGGAATCAAATCTGGGTTAGCCGCATACAAGGCAAATGCCCTACCCACTGTGCTATGGCTCAAGTCCAATGAAATACTACATGGAGAATATTGTAAACCGTGTTCTATTGATCATGGGCTGGAGTGATAGCACAGCAGTAGGGTGTTTGCCTTACAAGCGGCCAACATGGCTGAGCTGGGTTCGATTCCTCCACCCCTCTCGGAGAGCCCAGCAAGCTACCCAAGAGTATCTCGCCTGCAGGGCAGAGCCTGGCAAGCTCCCCGTGACGTATTCGATATGCCAAACACAGTGACAACAAGTCTCATGATGGAGATGTTACTGGGCCCGCTCGAGCAAATCGATGAATAATGGGAGGACTGTGTCCATGACCGTTCTATTGATCATAATAAAGTTAAAAGAAAAAGAAAAATGCATGCATGCAGTTTTATTTTTAACCTGTGTTCTTAACACTTAGCTAAAATGTATTGCCAACATCCTGGAATACTCAATATTGACATATACATGTGATCATCATTTCTATTCAGATCTTTTAAAATAATTTTGCTACTTTAAAAACTTTGCATTAATATTAATTATTATTTCTTTTGTTTTTGTGGATTATTTTTTACCATATCTGGTGGTGCTCAGGAATTATTCTTGGTGCTGTGCTCAGGGATCACTGAGGGTGGGTTTGGGGTACCTTATAGTTACCGGGGATCAAACCTGGGTTAGCTGGGTGCAAGGCAAGTGACTGATACACAGTACTATTTCTCTACCTTCTAGTTAGTTCTTCTTTGTGCACATTTACATATATATGTCTTTTAATTTCAGGGTTTGAATCTGAAAAGACTGGACGCCGTGCAAGGAGGGAGAGAGGTAAGACATCTAAAGAAAGGGAGAGAGAGAAAGTAAATGGTTGCAGCATTGATGAATTTGATGGTGGTGATGGTGGTATTTGTGGACATGTGTTGAGAATTTTGCATATGCACATTCTGTTCATCTAGCCAAACTCATCGACGTGTTTATGTGATATATCTGTGCATGTTCTTCTAAACCTTCTTTCTGTTTAAGCAAATGCTATTTCCATTAAAGTGGATTTTTACATCAACAAGGATCTATAGCTAGGGTTGAATGGCCTTTCAAGTAGACTATTATGCAATGTTTAAAAGATTGACTGAGAAATCAGAAAGTTTCTAAGAACCCAAACATTGTGTGACATCTGGAATTCTCCACTCTAATCTCCAAGATCATTGTATATGCTCTTAGTATGCTATGAATTATTTAATAGTGGGAGGTTGTTCTGAAAAGAGCAGTAAATCATAAAACTTTAATTATTGTATATCCTAAATGTTTCATAAAGTTGGAGAAGCTTTAATAACAACACAGTACCATTTCACATTTATTATGTGTTTTATTCTTTTCTAATCTAACTGAACATAAATATTTAGCCTCGATAAAAGTTATTTTCATGCTAAACAGAAATTCTTGTAACTTTATTCTCTGATTAAAGTCTCTGAGTGTTGTGGTGGTCAGGGTGGAAGGCTTAATTCAGCGGAGTGATATTTTTTTTCTGTTGTCCAAAAGGTAACTTTATTTATTCCAAATAAGTCTTATCCCTGTCATTATTTATGGTTTCTTTTTATACTAAAAATTAAGATTTCTTCTGTATTGGTTGAATATTGTTGGCCTCTCTTGATTTTTTGATTTTCAGCTTTGTACTTTAAGAATCTGAATTTCTAGAGAACTTCTTGTTTCGATTGCTTCCCTTCATTTTCTGTTTTCCATCAATAAGAATTTGTGTATTGGATGGACTCATAATAGCTGGTTCATGCTAGTAGAATAGCTAGGAAAGGTGACATATAGAAAAATATCTAGGTGTTTCTCATGTTCTAGGGGAGAACGGCAATAAGGATATTGTTGTCAGTGATGACAGAGCGAGAGGAAAATTTTATGTATAAGAAAGACCTCAGGACCATTCTGGTTTTGTGAGAGTAACTGCTTCTGCTCAGACAAGAACTGAAACGGATCTCTTTAGAGAAAGAACCTAACTCATCACCTCATACAGGAAGGTTCACATCCAAGAAGTATTGCCGGTTATCTTTGCTGATTCAGTGACTTTAAGGACAAATAATTCGGAGTTACCCAATTTTTTACTCCTGAATCCTAGTCCAATGATAACTGTGTCTCAAAGAAAACTTAAATCAAAATACTCATGGAACACCACAGCTAAGGCATAGTAAAATTCTTAAATGACTTTGTTAAAATTTTGTACTTTTTCATGACACTATACAAGTCTACTGGTTCTTTTTAAAGTGACTTTTACATTATGCTTATTTTTTAATTTTCTCTGTATTTATTTTATTACAAGTGTACTAATGGATAGGGGAAGTAAACCATGTGTTTTCCTTAATTTTATTTTGAAATGATTTTATAGCTGTTGTAAAGGCCAAATTTTAATGACTTACAGCTTAATATCCTCATCTGCATATATGAACAACACTAATTTGGACTTTCTCCCTGAAATTATTGGAATGCTTGTGGAAAAGATGAGATCATCACATTAGTGATACTTAAGTAATCTCTTGCTCATTTTCCAATCAAGAGTGGAAAGCAAAATTCATGTTTAAAATGTGAAACAATGACTTCACTTCCTTTCTGAGCAATACCTTGTTACTTGGGCAAGCTAGAATTCTCCTTGTTTTTATCCATGATGTACCGGCCACTGCACCCTACAGTAAGACTTTAAGGAGGTGTCAGAACATCAGGAGCATGTGGTGGACATTGCTGGGTCCAGTCTCATTTGTTGGTGAGCTGCTACCACTAATGCAGCTACAATGTCAGTCTCCTCGGTGCTTTTGGTTAGAAAACGTGACATATTCCTTTCCCGTTGCTTTTTTGCATCTTCTTGTTCTATGGGCACAGTGAAAAGATACACATTATACATCTGGTTGAATAAAATTTAAATGTGTGGATTTAGCAAGTCTTCCTCAAACACTCTCTTGAATTTTTCATCCTAATACTATTGTGATTGATGAAGACTTAATAACAGCGATTACTTCTTAGGATGAATTAATTTGTGTTAGTTCAAATGACAGGTGTTCCCAATAGGTGTTGATGGATGTGACATTAGGGCTCATTACCAAATATTTATAAGAAGGCTTAGGAAGTGTCATTTAAAAATGTCCTATTTACTTACTTGAGATAATGACAACAGTTAGAGCATGCACAGAAAACTGAATTAGGCAGCAATATCCTATTTAACTAAGCGATACATACTATTAAAATGCTCATCGTGATACAGGAAGGCCAGATTGGAACATTACATGATGCATAAAACTATAAATTAAGAAGTGATTAAAATATAAATTACTTTTCTGAGGAAAATAGACATGGGTAGCACCAGAATAACTTGCTTTATTGAAAACATTTGATAGTTTTATTTTACGTTTAGAACATAGTTATATTTGTATTCTTACATAGTCATCCGTGCATTATGTATATATAAATTGCAAGGGATAATTAGAATAGATGGGGTTGTTTAAAAGTGGGGTCAGGCGTTGGAGCCAGTACGGTGCTTGCCTTGCATGCATCTAGCCAGAATTTGATCCCCAGCATCCTACACGGTTCCCTGAGCACCCCTGGGATTAATTCCCCAGTAAAGAGTCAGGAGTAATCCCTGAGCACTTGGGTGTGGGCCTAAAAAAAAAAAAACAAAAAATGCAATTATAGCTACTTGCTTTGTCCCGGGAAAATCCTGGGTTTTATCCCCAGCACTGCCACCCCCTCTAGCCCAGAGTGAGATTAGTGAAATGTTCTCAAAATATGAGTATTTGATTGATATTTCTATCTGATTGCAAATGAACTTCCTCCTCCCAGAAAGAGCTAGTAACTTATAGAAAGAATTCTCTGGGTATGACGTATAGATAAATTATTATATTTCTCTTATCAAGGATTTTGTTAGTCTATACATTTTTTTGTTATTTAGTGTAAATAATGTTGAGTTACACTATTTTCTTAAAGTATTGTATTTTACAAAGCATTGATTTGTTAACTTATTAAACATTCGTATGTGTAGTATTGTATCTTAATTTTAGTATATGCTTATATACTTATTACATATTACTTATTACGTTATTATATGTATTATTTATTATATATACTTAAATGAATTATATATTTCTTTCTCTTAAAACTACTCCAGCAGCAATATTCATCAAATCTTGTCACAACTTTTAATAGACATATAAACCTCATGTCACACGTAAAGAGAATTAATGATTACGTACAGACACTTGCATTAGGCTCAACGATGTTCTTAGAAATTCTACTGAATGTGGTAGCGACCGTGAGAGACAATAGTTAACGGAACTTTAGGAGTGTGACCTTGTTGTTGGAGAGTGCAGTGGCTTAAGCACTGTAGAGATGATCAAAATACAACCCAAGTACAAGGGCCAGGGATCTAGCACAGAGACTCGGGGGCTGGCTTCGCACATGGACACCCCCAGTTTGGTCTCAGCACTGTCTTTGGTCCCTCAAAGCACCACCAAGAATGACCCCTAAGCAGAGAGCTGGGAGTAAGCTCTGGGAACTTCCAGGGGTCCAATCATCAGTATTAAGTATGTAATATTTTAAAGTAAGTGTGTGATATTCTTGATAAACTTTCACTATCAATATTGCAAACCACAATGCTCAAAAGGAGAGAGAGAGACAGAGAGCGACAGAGAGAGAGAGACAGAGACAGAGAAAGAGAGTGAAAGAAGAGAGGTGGCAGTCGTAGAGGCAGGCAGAGGGTGAGGGGATAATGGGAGGGAACCTGGGGACCCTGGTGCTAGGAAATGTACCCTGGTGGAGAGACGGGTATTGGAACACTGTAGGACTGAAATCCAATCACAAACAGCTTTTTAAGAGTCTATCGCAAGGTGATTTAATAAAAAAGTTTTAAAAATCTATTATAATTTAGGTGGTTTCAATACTTTTAAAGTTTATGGTGGCAGCATACAAAATCACTCCACACTCCCTACCACCACCACCTAAATGACCATGATCACTGTTCCTGTGTCACCTTTGTTCTCGTCTCCCTCCCGCCCCCATTGTTTGTTAGTTGGCTTTATATTCTTGTACCTTGATGTATTGATTTATTGTCTACAAGATGTTTTTGATGGAGTCTTCAGGGTTTCTTGTGTATAGTCATCATTTCTTGTGCAAACTGTGATAGTTTCAATTCTTTTCTATGTTGAAACCCTTTGATTTATTTTTCTTCTCCCTGAGGGCTGGAGCGATAGCACAGAGGTAGACCATTTGCCTTGCACTCAGCCGGCTCAGCTAGAGCCGGGTTCGATTCCTCCGCCCCTCTTGAAGAGCCAAGCAAGCTACAGAGAGTATCCCGCCCAGCTTGGCAAGCTCCCCGTGGCATATTCATATGCCAAACACAGTAACAACAAGTCTCACAATGGAGGCGTTACTGTGCCCGCTCGAGCAAATCGATGAACAGTGGGAGGACAGTGCTCCCATCCTGGTGGTAGGGACTTCCCAAACTATAATGAATCAAAGTAGAGAAAGTGGATCTCCTTGACTTTTACGTGATCACAAGGTAAAGGTTTCCACTATGATGTTGGCTCTGGGCTGTTTGTAGAAGACCACGGCTATCTTGAAGTATGCTCCCATCTCTGTATCTTCTGGAGGGTTTCTGCATGCTTTGTTTTCAATTCTAAAAATAACAAACTTGTGTTTGATAATGTTTCCATCCCTCCTTCAACCCTGAGTAATACACTTAACTAGGTTGAAGCTTTATGAATTGAAATTTCTTTTCATTCAAACATCTCTACGTATAATTCTCTCTATTCTCTTCTTGCTTGTCAAGTTTTATTTGATAGATA